TGCGGCGTCGGCGCCGTCGACGTGACGACGACGCGCGGCGCCTGCGGGGACGGCGACGCGAAGCCCTCGGCCGCGGGCGCCCAGCCGGCCGCGAGCACGTCCGGCGACTCCGTGGCCTCGGCGCCCCGGTAGCCGCCCGGCGGCGGCGAGTCGATGGCGATGCGCGGCGGCGGCTCGCAGTGGGGGTCGTCGCGGTCTTCCGGGCCGTGGTTCCGCGACCGGTACGCGCGCGTCTCGGAGTCGTACCATTGGACGCTGGGCGCCTTGTGGAAGTGCTTCTGGGCCGGGTGGTGGTGGTGGTGGTGCACGTTCTGCGGCACGGACCCGGGCGAGCTCGGCGCCGCGTCCTCGTAGACGCCGCGGATCTGCTGCTCGACGGCGAGGTTCCGCTTCGCCTCGGAGACCAGCGTCTGCGCGCGCGACATCTGCTTGGCCGACTGGCCCATCAACCGCGCCAGCGAATCCTCGGCCGCGCGCACCTCGGCCATGAAGGCGAGGTTCTCGTCGTTGTCGCGCCGCGTCGCCGCCTGCACCGTGAGACCCAACGCGGCCCTCACGAAGACCTGCCCCGCGTCGTCCGCGTCGCGCCGCCGCATCGTCTCCCAGAGGTTGTGCTTCCGCAGGTCCTCGTAGACGGTGCGCAGGCTCCGCTCCACGTAGGCGACGTAGTCGTTGACCTCGAGCACCTTCGCGTCCACGGCGTCGACCTGGGCCTCGCAGCCGTGGACGAGCGCCTCGACGTCGTGCGCCGCGGCCATGGCCCTGTCGTCCGCGGCCTGGAGCTTCGCCGCGACGCGCTGGTCCGCGGCCTTGGCGCGCGCCTCGGCGCGCTCCGCGTGGCCCGCGGCGTTCGCCTCCACCTGCGCCAGCGCTTCCGTGATGCGCTCCGTGATCTTGCCGTCGATCTGGCGCCGCGTCGTCGCGAGCTGCTTGTCCAAGCGCTCGTTGCCGCGGTCGAGGGCCTTCTTCGCCTCGAGGGCGCGCTTCTCCTCCGCCGCGGCGGACACGGTGGCCAGGGCCTTGCGGATGTTCTCGCACTCGCCCTCCAGGGCCTCGCGGTCGCGCTGGCGCGCCATGTCCTGCTCGGACGACATGACCTTGACGACCTGCATCGTCCCGAGGTGCGCCTGCTTGAAGGCCTCGCCGAAGTTGCCCGCCGCCGCCGCCGCCGCCGCGCGGCCGACGTAGGGCTTCGCCGCCGCCTCGGCGACGGAGAGCACCTGCTCGTGGTGCGCCGACGTGACGATCTCGACGCCGCCGAACGCGTCGGAAATTTGTTCCAGCAAGACGCACTCGACCCAGTGGCGGAAGCTCCGCCGCACGGCCCGCTTGACGTACAGCGCGTCGATGAGCGCGTTCGCCCCGTTGTGCATCGTCGCCGCGTCCCGCGCGCGCGCCGTCTGCTCCCTCCAGCGCGTCATCCCGAAGGTCTGGTGCCGCTTCTCGTTCATGTTGCCCATGCGGATCAAGACGGCGCGCCGCTTGTCCCAGAGCCGCATCTCGCGGCAGGCGCGGGCCCAGGTCTCCCACTTCTCCCGCTGCATGATCTCCGTGCGGTGCGCCGCGAAGTGGCAGATGCGCCGGAACGCGCGCTCCTCGTTGTACGTCTTCCTCAGGTCGGAGACGGATGCGGCCGCCGCGCCGATGGCCTCGTTGATCTTCTTGTTGTTCTCCTCCGTCGCCACGGCGAGGGCCGCGCGGAACTCGGCGCGGTCCTGGGCCCACATCTCCCGGAAGGCCGCGTTGGCGATGGACTGCTCCTCGAGGAACACGATCTGGTCGCGCTGGCCGTCGATCTGGTCGTTCAGCTGCCTGAGGAGGCGCGTCAGCGCGCTCGGGTTGAAGAGCTCGCTGAGGTCGATGGACGCCTGCGACTTGGACGCGCACGACGCGTCGTCGGGGGCACTGCGACCCCGGGGCGCGGGGGCCGGCGCCTCCATCGTCGTGGGCTGCCCGGTACCGGCCGCTGTGGTTCAAGCAAAAGGGCAATCCTGATGAACTTTTGGGCACCAGGTGGCGCCGCCTGAGCTCCTCCAGCCGCTCCTCCAGCCGCCGCGCAGAGGTCTCCAATATGGCCCACGTCCTTGACCTTGAGGAGTTGGAGATTGCCTGGAACCTCACCTGTACCGTCTACAATGACAGCCTGCTGGAGCAGCACTGCTCGACGCGCCGCGACTGCGAGACCATCGAGGTCGGCGGCACGCGCGCCGTCGTCGACGCGAGCGCCGGCGGCGCGACGCACGTCTGCTTCCGCGGCACGGCGACGAACCACGACGTCGCCATGGATCTCTATTACCACCTGAAACCGCTGGAGAGCTTCACGAGTTTAGACATCGACGCGGCGCGCGCCGCGGGCGCGAGAGCGCACGCGGGCTTCGCTACCGCGGCCTCCCTCGTCTACCGACGCGTCGCGGCGGCGGCCAAGGGCGGGCCCGTCGTCCTCAGCGGCCACTCGCTCGGCGGCGCGCTCGCGCTAATCGCGGGCGTCGCGCTCGAGGCGAGCGGCTTCTTCTCCTGTCGCGTCGTGACCTTCGGCGCGCCGCCCGCGGGCGACGCGAGGCTCGCGGCGCTCTGCGACGGCATGCTCCGGCACACGCGCTTCACGCTGCGCAGCGACCCCATCCCGAAGCTCGGCAGCGGCTTCCTGCCGCTCGAGCACGTGCGGGACTTCGCGCACGCGGGCGACCACGTCGAGCTCGAGGGCTGGGGCCAGACCGCGAAGCACGCGCTCCACGCGCTCTCGCTCCTCGCCGAGCCGGCGCCCGCGCCCGCGCCGGGGCCCGCGGCGCCGCCGCCGTCGTTCTGGGACGTCGTCAAGTCCGCGGCGACGAAGCTCGTCGACAAGAGCCACGAGGTCCACGGCACCGCGGAGTACGACCGGAACTTCCGCGCCTGGGTCAAGAAGCGGCGCGAGGGCGACGAGTCTAGGAACGACTTTCTCTAATTTTGTGACACTTGAGGGCAAACTCAACAAGGAGACGTGCAAGAAGCAGAAGTGTTCCTGTGAATGGAAAAAAAAGAAGTGCCAGGCGACGAACAAAAAATCCTGCAAGACGGGCAAGAACAAGGAAATGTGCCTTTGGAAGAAGCGTACCTGCCAAGTCGACTGCGGTGTTTTTCGCAACAGGTCCAAATGCAAAAAAGAAAAGAAGACCTGCAAGTGGAAGAAGAAGAAGAAGAAGTGTGTCTCCAAGTGAGAACCAAGAGGCGCGATTAGAATGGGCCACGAGCCCGCGACGCGGTCGAGCGCGACACCTTGTGTGTAAATAGTGATGTGGGAGGCTTAGTGTGGCCAAAATGGAGGGGGGGGTTCGTCGGCGGCCCGACCGGCCTGTGGCCGCTCGGACGCTGCTGAGGCTCGGCCGCTCGGGAGCTAGAGCGCGGCCTTGGTGCCCGCGCGCGCGAGGCCCTCGGACGCGCGCGGGATCTGGATCTGCTGCGTCTCGCCGTTCATCGTCGCGCGGATGACGAGCTGGTTGAAGTTCGCCACGTCGACCGTCGCGCCCATCCAGACGCCGAAGACCTTCGCGTCGACGACGTCGCCGGCGGAGAGCGCGTCGCGCCAGGAGTCCGGGTCGGGCGTCCAGTCCTTGTCGACGGCCTTCGAGGCCTTCGGCGCGGGCGTTCCCGCGGCGGCGTCGGCGGCGGCGCGCTTCTTCTCCGCGCGCTCGGCCTTCTTCTTCGCGTCCTCGGCGGCGACGACGTCGCGCGCGGCGACGAGCGCCGCGCGCATGGCCTCGACGTCGGCGGCGGCGACGTCGCGCTTCGTGTAGCGGATGCGCGCA